GGAAAGATAATTGTTTGCTTTCTGTTACTGTGGAGGATTGCCTCCAAAAAGGACAGTTTTGTAGTATTTTTTAGAAATAATTAGATTGTCTCTTTAAAGTCCTCTGAAAGATCATGCTGATCTTGAATCCCATAAGAGGAAATGTTTTGTTTCCAACGGTAAAAGATGTCATGCAGAGCTTTGTGATCTGTATTTTTCCAGAGTTGAGTAAATTTCAGCTATTCACAGAAAATAATTTGAGCTTTAACATACCACAAATTTGAGCTTTGGACATGACAATCTAGGACTTGGGCAACTAGGCAATAGAGCCCGAGGTGTCACTTTGACATAAATAGTGGAGGAAGCAAGCAGCTGCATCCTGTACCAGTTGCAGTCACTCTCATCAGCGTCACATCATGTAAATTACAGTAATCCATTCTAGAGATGACAGAGATACAGCTGGGCATGCAGCTTTATTAACTGTGAGCTGGAAGTGAGAGAAGGTTAATTTTTCAGTGCCCCTCCATATGAGGTCATAGAGCAGCAGGGTAGGGGGTGTGGTTAGTGATACCCAGATGCTGGAAGAAAGGGCAGGAATATTAAGAAAGGAGTATGAGATGTAGGAAGTGTAGATGAGGGAGGAAAAAGAGAATAAGTAAGTGCTCATGCTGGTAATATCAGCTCCTGATCTGGTGTAATTGTTTAGGAAGGACAGCATGGCACTTCCTATCATGAGGTGTTAAACCTTTCTTGTAAGTACTGTAACACTGAGGATTTCTGGCGACTTAAGTTTGGTGGGAGTCAGTCACAATTAAGGATTTGTAACACTTGTCCTCTCTCCGTTGAAGGCTTCCAAGTTTTGTATATTCCCCTTTCCACTCCCATCACTTCAGTCTTTCTTACACTGAGGTTGAAGCATTTTATTTTCACTTAAGAGACATCCTCTTTCAGATTTTTTTCACATCTTAGGATTGTGTCAGCAATTGCTGTTTGCAGTATATTATTGAGAGCTGAAGCTATAACATCTTGTGATCTCTTCCATGGTTTTGCAGAGATCCTGAAGAGCAAAATATTTGATTGATACAGACAAAACAGGTTCAGTCTCTAGAACACCATTTATCCAGTACTGCTTTGAATATTACTGAAAAAATTATGCAGATATTATAGTGTTAGTGTTGGGCTGCTTACCGTTGCTATTTTAGGATTATTTTGCCTGAATTTTTGCATACTGCTTTTTAATTTTCACAGTTATGCTAAACCTCTGAAAGAAGCAAGGTGCTAAAACAAATGAAGGAGAAATAATTTCTTTGTAGCTCTAATTCTAAATTTCTACAGTGGTAGAATCTCTGTGCGAAAGGAAACACAAATGTCAGATAGTCTTCTGGAATAGATTTTCCACACAAACATGAATATCTAGAAATCAAATCGAAATTCCTACTTGTCTTGTTGCCCTTGCTTAAAAAATTATTGTTAACTGTCTGAGGAAAAATATGCAGGAAACTTAAAAATTGGGAACTTAGCATTAAAAGCTATGAGGTAATTATTGCATTTCATACAAGATATATAGTCTACAATATCTTGTGGAGCAAGATTTCATGTTTATAATAGATGTGAAGTGTTCTTTTATCTTGTCATTACTTAATTAAAACTTCATGGTACATTCTCTCAGGAAATCTGCATATCAAAAGTCATATAAACCAGAATTACTGCAAATATGACCTAAGAAGTAGACCAAAAAGGCAATAAAGGAAAATCCTTCTTTGAAGGTTTTCATTACAGTTGTACTTTATCTCCTCTAGGCTCTCTTTCAAATTCCTTTTGGATATTCTGTCTTCGCCTATTTTCATTCTGTCCCCTTACATTATAGTTACTAATGTTCCTGGATCTGAGGTGAAGGTAGAGTTACTTCAAGACAGCAACTGTTATTTTCATAGTCATCCCATCGTGAAGCTGCCAAGTAATGCTTTGTTTACTCCTTTTTTGTCTGTGCTCTCATACATTGGCTGAACATGTTTTCCATGCTGTGTGCCAGCCCATCTAGTCTTGGGAGAACGAGGCTGAAAGTCTTCTTGGTTTAATAAGTAATAAATTACTATTTTTTAATTATAAAAACAAATAATCTTATATTGCATTCCTAGTTGCTCTGCCTTGCAAAGGACAAGAACTAGAAACTCATCCTGGCACACTTGCACAGAGATCCTGGCAACTGAGCCTAATATTTAGAAGCCTACATAGTGCTTCCAGAAGCCATTGGCTAGCACTGCATTAAGGAAAACAGAAAAACTAACAGTGTTATTTTGAGCCACAAAATGTGCACATAAATGGAGTTGCAGTTACATCTGTTACCAAAAACTGTCTTTTTAGGATAAGTGGAATTTTTCAGTTATATTTAAGATTTATGCACAGACTGCACAGACAGGGTTGGATTTCTGAACCAGCAATTTAAATTTTTTGTATTTTTTTTTTCTCTTTCATAATCTTTGCTGGGCAGAGCTTTGGAATTACTTTACTTTTCACAACTGCAAGTCTCAGATCTGCATGTGGTTTAACTCACCAGAGATACTTCTCATTTCACAGCCTATGCTGGAAGGAGCAATACTGTACAAAAGCAGAACAGATATGGGTCGAGTAAGAACAATGACGTTTTCCAAACCAGTTTTGCTTATGTGTGTACTAATGTTTGCCAGGTGTCTTGGTAGTTGTCACCAGTGAATGGTGCAGTTAAAAGTGGACATGGAAAAATTGTTGCATTTTCTTTTTCTTTAGGCTGCATGTTCACCTACATGTAAAATAAACTGCTTTTCGCTTGCACTGTATTTCTTGAGAACGGTTGTTCATTTTAATTGCATTTTAGCCATGGTTTTGAACCAGGAGAGTTTGACATACAAAACTTTCAAAGTGCACAAGTGAAAATATCAATGTATACATATTTCAACTTTAAAAGCTACTAGCCTTGTTTTCTTGTTTTGCTTTTTAAAGTATAGTGAGAACACAACAGGAGTAATTGATAGTTTTTTTGCTTCAGTGATCTTTAGCTTACTGTGCCTAGGCATGACTGATGTGAAATGTGTATGCATTGTAGGTATGTATATAGATAGATGAACTGGTCTTGTAAGTATTTTGGGAATGGGAAAAATTCGGTGAATGTCCTCTGTAAATTTCATTCAAGAAAATTCTGAACAGTTGAGCTATTCAGGTGTGTCAAAATGCGAACCTCGCTGTTGGACCATGTTTTTTCCCGGTATTTTTCCCATACCCTTGCATTTTTCCTCCACCAGTGAGACTGTGGTGCTGAGGCACAGGGCACAATTTGCTTCCTGTCCTCAGGTGAGCAGGGCATTGTTTCTCAGAGACAGGAAAATAAGATTTTCTCTGGCCCTGTCTTCTGCACTATCTGGCCAAAGTCTTCTCAGCACAGTGCCATTCCTACCAGCTCCTGCCTATGTATAAGATGTATGTTCTACGGCTGTTAATGTGGAAGTGCTGCTGTAGTATATGCATTATGTTTGCTAGATGGGATTTGTTAATGCTGGATGCATGAAAATCATTGCCTGGCACTCTTAGGAGAGGGCACAAATGACAGATTGTCCATCACTGTATTTCATCATCATCTTCCTGCCTGTGCAGCTATATGGAACTCACCAAGAGTCTGAGCTGCCATTTTTAGTGACCTTAACTTTTTGTTTCATGTTTAGTGAAGATATCTTCACTCTTGTTGTAGCTGTTTATTATACTTTAGCAAATACTTTGCCAGGTGCCTCTTCAGTGTCAGCACAGGAAAATACACAGAACACTTTTGAGATCAATGTCAACTGTGACTTTAGTGCCTGGAACATCAGTAGTGATCGTGACCAAAATTCTAGCATAAGAATATCAGTTTGTTTCCTAGCTGGAAAGAGATGTATCCTATCCAGCTACCTCAGTGGTATCTTCAGCAGAAGGGCAGTACTAGACCTGGGGTCTAGTTTGTTACCGTGCAGTATTGTCATAGTCATAATGTTTGCTGTGATCCCTAGATTGCTTACTGACTTAAAAAAAAGTACAGTCATCATCATTAAAAAGTAGGGCAGGGAAAGATCATGCTTCCTTGTAGCTTTCAAAGATCAGTGACAATGAAATTTGGTAGCAGCAGAGAGTAGTAAAAGAAAGAGCCTAATGTCCCTTAATAATCACTATCTCTGATGAGGCAGTTTTGTCACTTCCTAGACCAGTGATTGACAACAGCTTTATCCAATATTTATAACCAAATTATTTCTGGAAACTAATTTGACTTACTCATGGTTTTCTTTTTTTCCTCAAAAATGTATCTGGCACTGGGAGAAAAGCAGCTGCTGATATTGAATGTTTCCATGGTTCTGCTTACTGTATGGACAGTGTCTTATTTTAAAGAATATCAAACGGATAGTATAATATGATATCTTATGAAGCAGGGCATTTTTTCTCCCTCCATATATTCTTGCACATCACCAGAACTCAGGTTTCATCTTTTGGTTGTTTTTAGGTGTAAAATGATGTGGACTAACCATGCGGCTTTTGCCAAGAAGTAAATAATAATTCTGATGTCAGATCAGATGCCAGGTTTGCGAGGGCAGCACTGCAGTCATTGGCTGACCAAGTGAAAAAATAATTCCTTGGTTTAGATTCTTGAGGGAGTATTGCTTGCACGTCACAATTTTCACAGTGAAATTAATGCTAAGGCCCACTTAAAAAAAAAAAAAAAAAAAGCCTACTAAAAAAGAAGCATTGATGCCTTTCCCCATAGCACTGTGATTATACAAGATGTTATTTTCAAAGTAAATCCCACAATCTGTCCTGCTTGTATTTTTGGAGTCTTTGATGACCAAATGTTTTGAATTGTGAAGGGTAGTTGTGGTTGGTTTAAATTTTGCACAAAAGCACATGTGGGGTCCATGTGTAACACATCTAAACCTTTATATTAAAACCTATCAGTTAATGCTGGGGCACATGTAGATATACCACACTGTCATTGCTGACAACATTTTGAAAACCATGCATTCACATTAAAGCACTCTAACTTTCTAACACAATGGATGAAGAATGTACTGTTGTGCCAGTTATACCACTACTGCTGTTTAAGCAATATTGAGTGTAGATCAGAAAAGCTTTCCACTCTTTAATAATTAGGTTGATGAGAATTCCCACATATATCATAGATTGAAGACCATTTAGCTTTTTAACAACTTGATTCTCTGTTAGCAGTACCTCTCAAAGCGTTGCGGTTTTCTGAGAACTCTCTCATACTGTCTTTGCCTTTTGGGACATCTCTGTCCTAGCAGTTCTTTAAAGATACAATTCACTGTCCTTTTTTTCTAGGAAATGGTTAAATAACACAGCTTAGGAAGGAGAAAAGGGCAGAAATAACCACTCTGCCTAACTGAAGTAGATGGACAGCCTCACACTGCTAACCTGATCAGAATGACCTGGGTTTTGGCATTATTCACTGTATTACAAAGTTTTACTATGTGGGAAAAGAATAAGAAGTCTGGAAACATATCCCTAAAACGTTTTTTTTAAAAAAGAATACTTATTACTAGAAAATTCCATCTTGAAAGGGGGAGGAAGAGGTTTTGGTGGTTTGAGCCCTCTTTCATCATTTAGGATGTCAGAAGAATAATAGCCTTGTGTTACAAGCCATTGCTTTGCTAACTCTGCACTTCTGTGGCCTCATATACACAGTAAGTAATTCTGCTTTTTGTAAAGATTCTGTGTACATCCTTTCTGTGGAACATAGGTTGCCAGCTGGTTGGTCTGAGCAAGAATGAGAGTGCTCATTAACTGAGTAAGCTAAAGAAAATACAGGAAACAAGGGAAGGCTTTTTGGAAGACTGCTTGCAAAAGAAATTAATAGCTCTGTTGGATAAGGACCTTTGTCGCTCTCAGAGAAGCACAAGGCTCTCTCTAGTGACTTAAAGCTCTACAGTTAACAATGTGTCATATGGAGTGAGTTAAATGGAATTTCTAATCCTGCTAGATCAAGACATTTCATGAACTTTGGTGGCTCTAGAAAGGAGATGTCTCCCTTAAATCTCTTGCTGTATCTTAGTTTGAATCTTATCTGCTCTGGCTGCAGGATTCTTTCATACATTATTTGTTCCTAAGGACAGAAAAAATATTGAATCTATGTATAATACAATGTGCACACGTAACAGAATGGTAGCAGCAATGAGTTTTGCAATACACTGGAAGTTGACAAGATTCCTGGAATTATGAATCACAGTTTACTTCAAATATGACATATTGTAGAACCAGCCAGTACTAGATGCTATGGGTTATGGGTTATTGGTTTATTTGTTATGGGTTTATTGGTGTTATGGGTTATGGGTTTATTGGTGCTGTATATTTTGTAAAAGATGCTGTGCTGTGTGTCACTTGTGCAAAAACAGAGAACTATCCAGAAGGCTGTGCATGCAAATGGTAGTGCAATTCGTAAAAGTTTAAAGTCTCATTGGAAAGCAGAGGCCAATCAAACGTTATTTTCAACAGGGATGGCAAAAGAAATGGGCAGGGAATGAAGACAGGAAGGAGGAAGCCCTTTCAACTACTCTAAAACTGGTAGAACTTGCCCTGGGGCATGACCTGCAAAGAACTGCACTTGGTCTAGTTAATGAAATAATATGGGTGCATGTATGTCTATTGAGAGGGGGAGTTAAAAGTAAGAAGAGGCAGCATGAGGAGTTCTTTGCAGCAATACTTACTGAATTTTCCTAACAGCACCCAGGAGTCGTCTCCAGAACCGTTTGCTCTTTCACCTGGCACATAAGGTATGATGTCTTTTCTTCACTTGTGCTATGTTTGTTTTCTTTTCATTTGGGTAATGCGTAATTCAGGCTGGCAACCTGGCACAATAGTTAAAATGTCTGTGATGGTGTGAGAACAAACATTTTCCAGAACCACTCTACTGTATTCAAATGTGGAGGAGAAAGTAAGTGTGAAAATATGACCTCAGAATAGATGCCCTCAGCATGAATCTAAAGAAAGTCTTACCAACTTATTACAACTTACGTGATGGTATTTTTGATCACAAGGAACCTAGGATTTGAATAAAAAGCTTATAAGTCACTATTTTTCATTTTCTTTGAAGTGTACTAAGTTTTTCTAAATTGCAGCTGTCTTAGCAATTTGAACAAAATGGTCTATATACTAGTTCTGATCCTCCTAAGTAATTCAGTATCCAAGAAGTAATACTGTTTATAGCATGAAATTTATTTTTACTTTAATAAAAATGTAATGCTTATTGCGCTTATCACACATAGCTGTGTCTCTTTAAATTTGATAAAGAGGAGTTGAATAATTCCTAGTTCATGTAGTCTTTGGAAATGTTGGGGTTTACAAAATGATGAAGCCCACTGCTGTTCTGCTAAGCAGCTTCTCTTGCTTTTGTATTGGAGTATCATGTTGTGACTAGCTCAAAGAGGGAGGAAAAGGATTTAACAAAAATCAAGCAGATAAATAAAAAAATTCGGAGATAGAATTTGTATATAAGAAAAAGTCACAATTATTGTTGAATCAGCAGAACCAGCAAAGGAAAGCACTGGAATAAGTGATTTGAGCAGACTAATTAGGTGAATAGCCTCAACTTTAGTATAGTAATACAAATATAATAGGTGTGTTTAACTCTGTTCCTTGTTTTTATCCTTGTGTGTGTGTTATGCTTTTAAAAGCAAACCATTTTGTTAAGAAACTGGAGTTTTAAGGGAAATGTTAGTGGTGTAAAGAGGGCTTGTGAAAATCCATGCTGTTGTGTTGGCAAGCCTTGCATTTTTCTGCTATCCATGAGAAATAAAATTTGGATCTACAAACAACAACATTTCTACTGGCTCAAACAAGCACCATCATATCTTGTGTTGCAAAGTTCTGTTTGTGAAGTAATTAATTCAGTTCTTCTCTTCTAATCCATCAACACACTTGACACATAATTATGCCTAAATCACATCTTAAAGGAAAATATGTATGTAGTTTTAGCCTCAGGTTTATCTAGTTTCAACTGGTCTGCCTCTTTAATATTTAGTTTTCTCCACTGGTCAAATTAATTTTTAAAGTAATAGAGTTTTTCCAGATGTTTAATATGAATTATGTTTCCCAGAAAGGACAAACCTAATCAAGCTAATTAATTTAGGTTTGGTTGTTTTTTTTTCTTATCAATCTGTTCTGAGAATGTGTCACACTCTTTTTTAGTTCAATGATGAGAAGAAACTGATGAGCTCTCACCAGAATCTGCAAGACATTACGGAAGATCAGCTTAGCTTGGCATCTATCCACTACATGCGGACCCACTACCAAGAAGCTATTGATATCTACAAGCGCATTCTTCTTGCAAATCGGTGGGCATACCCACTCTAAGCCTTACTGCAGCATCTCTGATACTGTTGGTGTTTGAATTCCATTTAGCTACCTGGGTTCTGAAAGTAGGAATTTTCCCTAGTTGCTATGTCCCTTTTCCACCACAACATGCGCAACTTGCAGCCCCCTAAATTTTCTTTGTTGCAAATCATTATTGACAAATGCATGTTTAAAAAGAAGTCTGTTCTTTGTTGCATTCTTTTAGTGAAATTTTAATGTTACTCATTCTGAGAACTTTTAAAATATTTTTTTTATTACTTATTTCTTCGGAAATTATATATGGTTATGTACCTACTTGGTCTTTTTTTTCCCCTCTCATGGCAATTATCTTAACCCTTACTTGTGATTACTGACTTACCCTTCACCTCTTATCTAAGGAGTATTCAGTTCTCAGTTTTCAGGTAGAGTTCCTTACATTCCGTTAAGTCTGAAATTCTTTCCACTTCTATTTATCCTGCTATGACACTCATCCTGTCACTGGGAACTACTGAGAAGACTCTGGCTCCATCCTCCTTGTACCCACCCTTTAGATACTTGTAGGCATTAATAGGGTCTCCCCTCAGCCTTCTCTTTTCCAGGCTGGAGTCCCAGCTCTCTCAGCCTTTCCTTATAAGGGAGATAACTTATATAATTATCCTTTTACTTCTGGTTACCACAAATGCCTGTCTTATTTCTGTGTTTAGTTCTTCCCGTTTGATATCTTGTAATGGCAAGGATTTTTTGAAAGTAGTTTTACTTGATATAAAATAGTAAGATCCATTAAAATATTTTCTCAGTTTTATGTACATATTAAATGTCTTTGCACATATTGCATAGAAAATCCTATTCTGCCAGTCCAAGTAAAAATATACAGGACATGAGCTTGTGGTCTGTGCATTTCCTTAGTGTGAAGTTGCCACTATTTCCCAGACTTTCAAACCAATAATTTTGTTGGTAATCCTTTAAAGCTGCAGACGCTGCCATTGAAAAAAAAATACTGTGAATGTGGATCTATGCAATCTTACCTAACAAACCAGAGTTCTAAAGATACCTAACATGCATTTTTCAAAAACTCTAGTTTTTATTTGCTTGCAAAAGGTGTATAGACATTTGAGAGCTTTATCACTGGTTTTAATGTTCTCTAGTATAACTATCTGGTGAACTTTAAATGTTCTCTTTAATCCTCTTTCCTGCAGGGAATACCTGGCTCTGAATGTATATGTGGCTCTCTGCTATTACAAACTGGATTACTATGATGTATCACAGGAAGTTCTGGCTATTTATCTTCAGCAAGTTCCTGACAGCACTATTGCTCTTAACCTTAAGGCTTGTAACTATTTCCGGCTTTACAATGGGAAAGCTGCTGAGGTATCTATTGGATAGTCCTTTGGTTCACCTTTGTTTTAGTTCAACATTCCATACAGATTTCTTTTCCTTATTATCTGTCTTAATCAATAATGTTGATAATGACCTTTATCTTATCATTGTATCCTTCTCTGAGGAACGTCACCTATTTCGGTTTCCTTGGTATTAAGCCATCTGTCCATATGTGTGCACAGTGGTCTTAGAGTTTTCCCAGTCCATTTTTGTCCTTGTGTCTAAATGCATTATCCAATTGCTAAAAATCATCACATAGAAGTGGGAAGGCAAAAAATCTTCCAGTGACCTGGCACTGCTGGAGATATCTTTCTGTCAGCTTTGGGACTCATATGAAGCTCTGTTTATGCTTTTGTGCTTTTTTGTTTTCCTGTTAAAATTTTGGAACATACGTAATTCCAGGCAGAGCTCAAGAACCTGACAGACAGTGCCTCACCATCTTTTGAGTTTGGCAAGGAGCTCATAAAGCACAATCTGGTAAGTAATGTATTTATTTGATTTAATGTGAACTGCACTCATTTGTAGAGCTTTTCTTGATGATTCATAAAAATGAATATTTTGGGAATTGCAGACTAAATTGAATCTCTGTTGCCAATATAAGTTTCATTCCAGAAATCCTACCTGTATAATCAACGTGTCAGCAAGAGTATTTTTTTTTTTCTGGGTTTTTTTTCCCTGTTAGTTTGAGACTGTGTCAAGAAAATAATAACACTGTTCCTTTTACACTCGAAGGCATTTGAAAATAATTGATGTCCTGGAAGAATACCTTTGCAAGGTATTTTGTGGAACCTAGCTGTCATAGTTTAACTCGGGACTGGCAGTTAAACAAATGACAACAGTGCTCTCTATCCCCTCTCACCCTGATAGGGAAAGGAGAGAGAGATTAAGGAGAGAGGCTTCTGGATTGAAAACTAAACTAGACAACTTCAATAAAATACTAGAAGAAAATAAAAGAAAATATGTACAAATATATTCCTACACACATTCGTATATACAAAACCCCTGTTGCCTCTCCCTGCCCCCAGCAACTCCCACAGCATTTACCCTGAATTGTGGAGAGTCCAGAGAAGGTCCCAGACCACCTCTGGATATAGTGGCAGAGCAAACAGGAGCTGGGAGCAGAGATACAGAGGTCAGGAGTGCAAGGGCCGAGGGATAAAAGGAAATGGATAGACAGAGTCCTCCCTGGACACCAGCCATGCAGAGAAGAGAAGGAAGAAGAAGGGAAAGTCCCTTCTGTGATCCCTGAATTTATACTGAGAGTTACGTATATATGGGATGGAATAATTTGTTTGGCCAATTTTGCCATCTGTCTAGTTTGCTCCTCCCTATAGGAGGGTTGTAGATACAAGTCTTCTGCTTCTTTAGCAGATTCCACAAGTGGAGCAAAGTGTCCTTCTCAGCAGTAACTATAAACATTTGGGCATTAACAGTCCCTTGGCTGGAAAACTTGCTGTTAGTTTCGGCAAGGGTGTTGCTTAAGAGAGACTTCACTGAAGGAAAAAAACATCAGTTTAAAGAAAATTGGCTTTGTCCTGGCTCAAACCAGGACACTAGTCAATAACTACACTGTAGAAACAAGTCAGAAAACATGACCCTGAACACTTCTTTAATACAACAACAGTGTGAGAGGAATTAAGATAACTCAGGAAAATCGTAATCCAAAAAGTACTTAACAAGGCTTTCATAGGGAAAAAGATGCTGACAGAAGCAAAAATAATGTGTTCTGCAGTAAAAGAGTCACTAATCACCTGTTAATTTTCCCCAAATGATATTAATACTTTGCCAACAACCAGTAACAGTAAATTGCTCTTACTTAAAGATGGTCAGTTGCTTGTTTTGTCCTTTTTGAAGAGCAGTCACAACAAGCTAATGCTTTCCTTCCCCCAAGAATTAAAACTACTTTCAGACTGGACTTCTGTAAGTTAACATGGTTTATTTTGACTGTTGGCCTTTTTGTCAGTGGTTTATTCAGTAAGTGTGTTAAAATTTTGTTGGAGGAACTGTCATGTGAAACTGAAGTGTGAAGAGTCAACTGCTTCTTATCATTTTAGGATCTTGAGGCATTCTAAACAAATGTAGAGTTGTTAGCTTAATTTTTTCATATTAATACATCATAAGCAAATTGTGATTCTGGATGTGTTCCCCTCACTCTTGTCTCAGATCATATCACTATTTAAAATCTTTGATATATAATGTATCACTTTTGAGCTGCTAAAAGCTGAAATAAGGTAATCTTTACTGATGGAGTAAATATTTTATATTCTTCAGAATAAAGATTGTCACATGTAATTCTGTAGTTCTGTTAAAGCAGGGATTATGCTAATACCGGTACCATTGACCTACTATTAATATAGGAATTTAAGGATTAATTTCCTTGAATTAAGAGATCATAGACAAGATCTTAATACACAGTTACTAATATGCTGCTTTTCTCGGCAGGTGGTGTTCCGAGGAGGAGAAGGGGCTTTGCAGGTTTTGCCTCCTCTGGTTGATGTTATTCCTGAGGCAAGACTGAATCTTGTGATTTACTATCTCCGGCAAGGTAAATACACCTTCCTCTGGCTCTTCCATGGCTTCAGGGGTGACATCCATTCATCTGATCTCAACTGACTATTCTACAAAGTGCTTGTTTTCTATTAAGTAAAATGTAATTTACTTCATTTTCTGTTCCTTTGGCAAACAGTAATGTAAGAGTTCCCATGGCTTGCAGAGAAGGGCTTTAATTGTGTGTAGTCAAATACATCTGCTTTAGTGTAGAGTATTAGAGGTTCTGTGGGTTGCAGGAAATGGCTTTGATGGTGTTTATATGCTTATGGTGAGAGGACCTCTCCTTTGCTTGAATATGTGTAGATGCATCTCAATAAGTTCATCAGAAAATCTGAGCATAAGTAAGCATAATACATCGTAGAAGCTCTGTGAGCTTCTTACAGTGCAATTGACTAGGAGTTTCATGTACTAATTCTGAGTAATATATTTGTGATTTGTAATAAACAAGGTTAGTGAGATTTAATCTTTGTAGTTGGCATATGCTCTCTTTGGTGCTCAGTTGTATCCAGGACTGCTTCTTTTGTCTGTGCAATCGAGTCACTGCCTCATGATTTCAGTTCAGCTCAGACTATGACAAATTTTAGAATGTCCCACTACTGATGACTGTTAGTGGTTATGTTAATTTTTATTGTGGCTGATATTGTGTAAAAAAAAAAAAAAAAAAAAAAAGTATTTAATCTGACTTTGCTTATGTGCAAGCATCAGTCTTCTCAAAATAAGTCCATTCTATCCCTGTTTTGTTTTACTTGATACTGCCTTAGCCAGACAAGCATGTAGTCAGAACTTCCTCTGTTCCACCTTTTGTCTGCTGCATTTCATCTTACCCTGTGGAATCTGTCTGCATCTTCTCTGTATCCTCCCATTAGTTAGTTATAGACAGTGTTAAGACCTCCCTTGAGCCTTCTCCTCTGAAAGCTAAGCAAATGCAGTTTCCAGTCTCTTCTCACCTCCCTACCTGATGCCCTTGGCTGGGCTCACTCCAGTAGTTCAACATCTGTCTTGACTGGGGGATCCCAAAATCAGACACAGTACTCCAGGTACAATCTCGCCAGTGACAAAGAGAGAAGAATCCCTTTCCTTGTCCTGATGGCTACGTTCTTGCTAACTGGATCCAGTGTGTACTTGGCTTCCTTTGCTGCAAGGGTGCACTGTCTTTTAGGGTCCCCAGGTTGCCTTTTAGTCAGTCAGCCCCCAAGTCCTGTCTTACTGCTTAGGATTGTTTCAAACCAAGCAAGATGCAGGACTTGCATTTTGCCTTCACTGAACTTCAATGAGATTTTTCTCAGCTTATTTTTTTCAGCCTGTTGATCTGCTTCACAGTTGCTGGGAGCTTTTTTCCCACTCTGTTACCATTTGCAAACTTGCTAAGAGTACTCTCTAGCCTGTGTCACTATTGTAAGACATTCAATAGTATCAGTCCTGGGGGATTTGAGTAGCATAGAGCCCCCAGCTGCATTTTGTACAGCTGGTCACCATAGCATCATAGAATGGTTAAGGTTGGAAGGGACCTTAAAAATCTTCAGGTTCCAACCTCCCCCCTCCACTGAGGGGGCTTCCACAACCTCCCTGAGCAACCTATTCCAGGACTTTACTACCCTCATAGTGAAGAATTTACTCCTGATGTCTAATATAAATCTACCCTCTTTCAGTTTAAAGCTATTACTCCTTGTCTTGTCATTGCCCTCTCTGGTGAAAAGCCCCTCCCTGGCTTTCCTGCAGTCCCCCTTCAGGTACTGGAAGGCTGCTATAAGATCTCCCCAGGGCCTTCTCTTCTCCAGGCTGAACAGCCCCAAATCCCTCAGCCTGTCTTCATAGCAGAGGTGCTCCAGCCCTCTGATCATATTCATAGGCCTTCTCTTTGATACTTTAACAAGTTTTTTATCTCCTTATCATCTTACTTAGTCCTGCCTCTCAAATTTGGCTATGACAAAGATATAGGACACCATGTGAAATACCTTGCCTAAGTGACAGTATACAGCATCCACCACTGTACTCTTATCCATTGGTTAGTCAGTACATTTTGGCATTGCTAAATCTATGCCTTCTGTTCTCAGACACGTTTCTGTCTGGTATTACTGTTGCCAGTATCACTATATGTAATATTGGCATTAATACCAATTATTTTGCCCAATAATATTAATATATGTTCCAAATTAAGTTCTGCTTACAAAGAAGCAAAGTACATCTTCTGCACCAGTTAAAAATCAGCCTCATTTACTGTCAACCTTGCAGCAATTTTCATTAGTTAGGTTCTGTTTTTCACTGTGGTATACAAATAACTTGCATACTGACAAAGGAGGCCAAAGGAAATTAAGATTAAAACCTCTTTCCTGGTTAGGCTAAGTTTCCATTTTAAAGTCTTGCTAGTGTAGCAGCATCAGTTAAGAATGTGAGAAATCATTACTTCTAATGACTACAGCTGTATCTTCAAAACTTTTAACTTCTCCAATAAAAGGAGGCTTGTGCTAGGGCATGCTGTGAACTGGAGTGAGTGAAGCACAAATATGCGTCCCACTTTTTTCAACTCTTTAAGGTCGTGGCTTTTAGCAGGGTTTGGGCCACGTATCCAGTCGTAATCTGCTCCAGTGAGATTTGCTAGAGGCTTCTTTGGAGCCTGAAGAGCATATTTCCATGTTGATGGTCTACACTGATGAAAATAAGGGCTGTTGTCATTTTTGTCTTGGTGGTGGTGAGCTGAGCTAACCAAAAGTAACAAAAAGGCTATTAATGTGTTTTGTTTTTTTTTAAAAAAAAAGGCAACAAAACTTTTGCCTAATCTAATACCTTGTGCTGGCTTACTACATGATTGTTGAACTATCCCCACTGTGTATGGGTGGTATGTACTAGAAAAAAAAATGTTTTGTTTGATAAGGCTTGTTCTTATGAGCAGCTGGTATAATGCTGTATTAACAAAATTTTGCCTGTAAAAAGGGCATTTTCACTAGGTTGGGTTACTAAGCAAACAATAGTGCCAGCATATTTTTTTTATTTAGGTAAAGATTAGGATCTTTTCAGTTTACTTCTTTCTTCAGTGGGCAGGAAGCTGTTTATCGAATTTAAACTTTTATACTAGTAATGCTTTTTGCTCATTAGAGTTAGGATTGGGTAAGAGTTGCCAAACAGATTTTGAAATACTGATAAGGAAAAGATAAAGTTTTTCTTAATCATGTTATCCTGGCCTCCTTGAGGGGTAAATAAATATGAGAAAAGACAGGAAAATGATGCATTTATTATCTTGACCTTGGGCTTTTGAGAAAGGCAGCCACTGGATTATGAACCAGGGGGCCAAGTCATCTCTACTAGGAAAAATGTAGTAATAAAGAAGCTATTACTCACTCCATGTCTGGTATTTGAGTTCTAGAAAACCATCACCATTGTGATATAAATTCACAATTCTTTATAGTTACCTTTCTTCTCCTGTCTAAGTGTTTTATTTCTTAGTCTGTGACTATTGGGGAATGTCGTAGAGTATGAGTGATTTCTTCTAATGCAGTGTGCTGTGAGTTGTCATTCATTCTAACATCTGGTATTTCAGGTGATGTACAGGTGGCTTATAACCTGATTAAGGACCTGGAACCTGCAACACCACAGGTAATTGGAAACTTCTGTCATGGCACATAAAGACAGAGGTTATAAGTTGGTATGAAAACTGCCACATAGAATGGTAGTGTCCTGAGGACAGCTTGCCGCATTCCCATTTTTAAAATTCTTGTGTTTTCTACCTTTTCATCAACAGGAGGCTTAATGTGCATGCATAAAGTATTATCTGTAAGCATATATGAATACTTAGCATGCTTATTGCTCTGCCACCAGTAAGCTCTGCTGTCTGCAGACTTGAATCTAGTGAGCTGACAGTGCATAGATACAACTACTCTTCCAGCTACAGCTGTATGTCACTTCTGCCTTGGTGATGGTTACCATCCTTCAGATCTACTAGCTCAGATCCTCATATGTTTTGTCCTAAAGCTGTTTTAATAAAAATGAGCTAGATTAGATTAAGCAGTTTAAATAATAGATCTTTTCTAGTTCCATCTCACTTCAGCTGCAATGAGTGAAAACTGCAGTGTCCTTTGGCTGCTACTGTAATTTTTTTTGGTGGCTGTTCCAACATCTTTAGTCTCTGATTTATTGCTCTTTACAGTTTATTTTCCAAAGGTCACAGAGCTGAGCATGAAAGGAACCTTTCATGAGTCTGTGAGTATTAGATGGAGGGAAGGAAAAGGAAAACCTCAAGAACACAGATCTGGTGATTTTGTGCTGAGGAGTGCCTTCTGCTGTTGCTTTTCACTTCTTGCTTTTTTCAGTCTAGCAAGTCTTACTTTATGTTTTCTGCAGCAATTGGTTCTTTAGCCTCTGTTTTCCCCAGGTATTTGCCTAATGTAAATTTCCTGGAATTTCTTTCTCTGTGGGTTTTTTTCCATTTTTTCACTGACACTTGGAAGGAACTCCTTGCTGAGATTTGCAAAACTATTTGCATATTCTCCTTAATTTATTCTCAAATTTCATGTTTGCCATGATGTCTGTAGGATAATAATTTGACATCTGTAAGAGAGTTGGTGTGCTAAAATCATTACCTACTCCCTAGTACTCTCAGATTGTTTCACTTCATTGTTGGTCTGTGTACATCTCTTTTTCTGTGTTTACATCTGTGACAGGGCTGTCCAGGTTTATCAGGAGTACCCACTGCAACAGGTTTATTAATTTAAATAAGATTTAAAGATTTAAATAAGACAAACGAGTCTGTTACATGCTAAGAAAATATTTCTCAGAGAAGAATCAAACTATAGTTGTATCTCAGAGATTAGAATACGTATTCATATTCATAATTTCAGTAGAGCAACATGACCACAGAGCACAAACCTCTTGATGTTTTTGGCCTGATGAGAAATGCTATCCATTTTGGAGGAAGGGTGGTAGTGTTTATGATTCAGCAGTGTGGATACTTGAAATGGGATGCGTGCATTACTATAACAGTATTGCACTTGATTACTGGTCACGTGATGGTGAAGGTGGCATTGTAGTATGTTCTGGTGTTCTTCCCAGTGCATCGTCTTTGAGCATAAGACCTTTCAGAAAACACACTTATGCCTTTGTGACCCATATATTTAGTGGAAGTGACTACCTAACAAGTAGAATGGAGTTTTTGGTGGTAACTTTTTACTACTGTGCTGAAGTATTGCCACAGTAACCAGCCACCTTTTAAACTGAGTTGGGATAGAATTGAATTTAGGAGGTAAATCTTCACCTTGTCTTCTCTGATCCCTTTTACTTTTTTTTCAGGAGTACATCCTGAAAGGAGTGGTAAATGCAGCACTTGGACAAGAATTGGGCTCGGTAAGTGAAGCCTATGAAGTTCTCCAGCTTCTCCAACAGTATGATGTGAGCAGATATGTAGGGACTGGAATGGAGTGAAAAAGTCAGTAATTTCTCATTCAGATTGCAGGATCTCCAAGTCTCTTAAATCTTCTTCCATACGGTGCTCAGTCCAGAATGAGTGAAATGCAAATCTCTGTTGGACAACCAAGGAAAATGTAGGCCCTCTCCTGAAGGAGATGAGAGACCTAGCTGCGTAGGATATTGAGAAGGCTGAGGTTCTCAATTACTTCTTTGCATCAGTCTTCTCTGGCAGTAGCTCCAGCCTCCTTGCAAAGGCCACAGCAGATGAAAGCAGGCACTGGTAGAATGAAGTACCCCTCACTGTAGGAGAGGAACCGGTTTGTGGCCATCTAAAGAACCTGAAGGTGCACAAGTCTGTGGGACCTGGTGAAGTCCATCCGTGGGTCCTGAGGGAGCTGGCAGATGCAGTTGCTAAGCCTCTGTCCATCATATTTGAGAGGTCATGGTGGTCTGGTGAGGCTCCCACCGATTGGAAAAAGGGTGATGTAGTCCCTCTTTTAAAAAAGGGGAAAAAGGAAGACCCAGGGAACTACAGGCCAGTCAGTCTCACCTCTGTGCCTGGCAAGATCATGGAACAGATCCTCCCGGAAAATCTGCTAAAGCACATGGAAAATAAGGCAGTGGTTGGTGACAGCCAGCATGGCTTCACTAAGGGCAAATAATGACTGACCAATTTGGTGGCCTTCTGTGACATGGCTACAGAGATGGTGGATAATGGCAGAGTAACTGATGTCATCTACCTGGATTTGTACGAGGCATATGACACTGTCCCGAGATGACATCCTGGTCTCCAAACTGACAAGACATGGATTTGACAGATGGACCACTTGGTGGATAAGTAATTGGCTGGATGGGTGCACCTAGGGAGTTGTGTTCAATGGTTCAGTGTCCAAGTGGAGGCAAGTGACGAGTGGTGTCCCTCAGGGGTCAGTATTTGGAGCAGTGCTGTTCAACATGTTTGTTGGAGACATGGACAGTGGGACTGAGTATATCCTGAGCAAGTTTGCTGGTGATACCAAGCTGTGTGGTGTGGTTGACACCGTAGAAGGAAGGGATGCCATCAGAGACCTTGACAGGCTGGAGACATGGGGCCAATGCCAACCTCATGAAGTTCAACAAGGCCAAGTGCAAGGTCCTGCACCTGGGTCAGTGCAACCCCAGGCATAAATATAGGCTGAGGGGAGAATGGCTAGAGAGCAGTCCAAAGGAAAAGGATTTGAGGGTGGTAGTAGATGAGAAGCTCGATATGAGCCATCAGTATGTACTTGCAGCTCAGAGAGCAACTGCATCCTAGGCTGCATCAAAAGAAGTGTGGCCAGCAGAGTGAGGGAGGTGATTCTGCCCCTCTACTCTGCCCTGATGAGACTGAACCTGGAGTACTGTGTACAGCTCTGGAGCCCTCAGCACAGGAAAGGCGTGGAGCTGTTTGAAGAGGGTCCAGAGAAGGCCCACGAAGATAATTAGAGGGCTGGAGCACCTCTGCTGTGAAAATAGGCTGAGAGAGTTTGGGCTATTGAGCCTGGAGAAGAGAAGGCTCCAGGGAGACTTTATAGCAGCGTTCCAGTACCTGAAGGACCTACAGGAAAGCTGGGGAGGGGCTTTTCACTAAAGGGTACAGTGACAGGGCTCTGTGACAGGGCTGTCCAGGTTTATCAGGAGTAATGGTTTTAAATAGAAAGAGGGGAAATTTAGATGAGACATCAGGAGGAAATTCTTCACCATGAGGGTCATAAAGTGCTGAACTAGTTGCCCAGGGAGGTTGTGGAAGCCCCCTTCCTGGAGGTGTTTAAGGCCAGATTGGATGGGGCCTTGTGCAGCCTGGTCTGGTGTGAGGTGTTCCTGCACATAGCAGGGAGGTTGGAGCCTGGTGATCTTTAAGGTCCCTTCCAACCTTAACCATTCTATGATTCTGTTGCTAGTCCTGACAATAAATCAAGTTCAATTTGGCTTCTCTGTCCTACTTTCAAAAATTCTCTTTGCTTTCTACAGTGTTCTTGTGTATCTAGGCACATACAGTGGCCCATTTACCTTTCCTGGTTTTGCTTCAGCCCTGGTTATCTGTTAGTTGTTCCCCATCTGTTTCTCAGATTGTATTTTCACTGTGTATTGTAGCATCAACCCTGGAAATCCTGTTGGAATTTTTTTTCCCTTTCTTCCAGAAAGATCATCTGACAATTGCTCAGCAGTTCTTCAAGTTGGTGGGTGAATCAACCAGTGAATGTGGTATGTATGACATGTTCTTTTTCCATTATGTAGTCCTTCTTAAAATATCCAAATATATGCCATCGTATCTTGGCAAACTGCTCACTGTTGGCATAACATTTGCTAAGCATTTTGTTGCTATAGTATGAATAACAGAAAGTCTAATTTATGATCTAAAACCAATCTGCAAGTTTAAATTAGAAGCCTTGACTAATTCCAAACCTTACTTTGTGAATTCAGCTGGAAAAGAGGCTCTACTGCAACCTGCTGGTCTTCACTGAGAGACACTGTGGCAGCTTATCTTTGACTAACAATCCCCTTTGTAGAAACAGAAGATAACAGCTTAATTAGATGGTGTGTATGGTTGAAACCTCACAGGTGGAAACTCTCACAGGTACAAATCTAGGACTGCTAGTGAAAGCTATCAAGTACTTAGGGTCCTAGCAGGGAGTATGCCCTGAAACTGAGGGTGACAAAAATGTATAGAGGAATTCAGCTACAGAGAGAAACGGAGGCTCTGGAAATAACTCCTTGGTCAAATAAAAAAATAAATAAAATATTATAAAACCCAACCAAAAAAATCAGTGTATTTTCAGTGTTTGCTCTAACTTATTCGATATTAGAGCAAAACAAAACCCTGTTTTCCTTTGTCTTTGCCAAAGTGAACTAAAAAATCCCAAATCAAAAAAGCCAGTAGTTGGAACACAGAAATTCAGCTGAACTGGGGCTTCCCAGTTGCCTCTGCAGGCATTGTCAGTAAGACGGTTTCTTTACGTGGGTGAGTTATGCATGTTTATGGGGAGAGAGCTCATGGTCCTCAGAGACAGAATGCTGTCTCCTGTGTCCATGGTGATTACTGAGAAGGAGCTCAAGAGACAGACCAGCAGCACTGATGAAACTTTCAGAAATACTGTTGAGCCATTCTGTTCCCCTTGCAGCCCTTGTGCAGCAGAGAGCTTAACTTTGGAAGATGGGAAGCAGTCCAACTGATGAGTCTTCCCTCAAACATTCCTCTTGCATTGAGGTTATCCCTTTGGAGTTTGGATCCCAGCTGATAGGAAGAAGCCATATGAACTCTAGTAGCAGAGGACCAAGTTAGTGGACGTGTAGCTAACTGGGTTTGTAAAGTCACGGGGTGATTGATATAATGGTGGTGGACCTCTTAATGCCTGTAGCAGTCATGGGCATGTGATGAGTGACCATAGCACACATGGATAAAAATATTCCAGAGATACTCTGAGAAAAGATGTCCTGAAAAGATGTATAGTGAAGACATAACCAAAACCAAAAATTTAAATGTTCAGGAAGTCTTAATTTTACTGTGAAATATTTTAAACCTGTATGCAAAACAAGACAGAGAGGCTGAGTCTTAAGGTATGGTTGAGTGGAAATAAAAAAGGAGGAACAGAAATGTAATCTGCATCAGGAAAGTGAGTTAGTTGAAAAAAATGAGCCTATGGGAAGGATTGGTTCCAACCAAAGGTAAATAGAAATGTTAGTACTGCAAGCATCTTATACTCTTGCTACTTCCATGTAAAAACTGCTTTGGCATATTTTTAAAAATTTGTGTGAGAAAGCTGACATACAGAAGATCACACAGTTCAAGGTAACCCTTCCTTTAAAAGCAAGAGTGTGAGGGGTTTTTTTTCTATCCTCAAATGAAGGACAAATGAAGTTCAGCAAACTGTAGGTAGGAGATAGAAGAGGCAGAGTTCAATTTACATAGGACATAATAATAAAGCAAACACAAGAAGACCAAACATGTAAGTGCTCATGTAAAATTATTAATGTTTTACATGAAGATGAGTAAAGAGAAACCTCTGCTTTTAAAAGAAAAAACCATAAACCTAAAATATTTTTAGATGTGATAGAAGGAAGGTAACATATATGATACTGTTTGCATTTAATTTAAAATTGGTTATTTGTAAATAGATTATGCCAGTGGAGAAAATATGGTTCTAAACACTGCAGAAAGCTTATTTCAAAATAAGTAAATATATTTTTATTTGTGAGTAACATAAAATTGTTTTAAATTACTTGCTCAGATAGGAGATTCATCATATTGAGGCTAAATTATTCACCAGCCAGCCTGGTTCAGAACAGTGACTGGCATATTAAAGAGGTTGGAGATTTTATATAAAGAGATTATTATATAATAGTTGGAGACTTTTATTCTGCCCATGTAGACCTAGTAAATGCAATGACATGGCATGATACAGAGAATTAATTTTTAAATGTTGATTTTTCATCTTTTTTAGAGAACACAGAAGTGAACAGGTGACTGTAGACCAATACATAGAACCTGATTTGAAATTTTATAATGAAAATCCAATTTTGTTACAGCGATCTGAGTATAATCAAATTCAAAATCCATATGTTAGCAAATACCTCAAAAATTTCCACAGGACTAGTTTCTACAAGGGAAGCTACATAATAACTTTTCTCATTTCTAACAGAAAATTTTCGTTGAAGTAGCAGTGAAAAGGATAAAATGCACCTGATTTAAGCTCTTGAAAGAACCTTTTTATTTAAAGAAAGGGCTCTTATTCATAATTAATGAATAATGAAGAGACAAATACAACATGACTGGGTTTGCCAATAGTACAAAATTACCCATAGTAATAAAAATTAAAGCTTCCACAATGATGAAAGCTGTGGAAGAATATATGAGGCTGGATAATAATATGCAAATTAAATTTAGCTTTGATAAATGCAAAGTAGTACATGGGGGGTGGGAAATAAACTGTTTCCAAAATTACGAGAAAAGTTGAAGAGAATCTTAGGAACTGATGAGGAAAGAGGAAAAAAGATAGTAATTACTGAGTCATTGTACACAGATGTGGTTCTGGTATGCAGTTCTGGTTCTTATCTTTAAAAAAAAATGTTAGAACATGAAAGGGTACAAGAAGACAGCAAGGATGATCGGAGAAAGGGGATAGCTTCTTGAACAAGAAGAGGTTTAATAAAGAAGGATACGTGGCCTGGAAAATGATGACTGAGTTTGGTGATGTTCACAGTACAGAATGTCATTGACTGAGTTTGGTGATGTTCACAGTACAGAAAAATAAAATCACAAGGCGAAGAGGAATAGAGAAAAATTATTTACCATACCTTACAAAAAACAAGGACCATTGAAATAAATCATCACACAAGACAATTAAAACAAACTGTATTAATTACTTTTTCACATAACACAACTTACTTGATATATAATCTTGCAAGCACCAGAAGGTAGAAAGAAATCTGTAGAAGAAAAGTCCATTGGCTATTTAAGACAAATTTTTCAGTGACAGTTTGCAAGTCTTCAGTGCAGATTGTTGGAAGCAGGGAGAAGCTTCAAAGGAAGTGGCATTACATACCACAGCATGTGTTACGTGTGAAATCAGAATATATTCTTTCTATAACTGTATATTCTTACTCAGCAAGCTTCTGAACCAGATGGGCACTGGAGCCAATATGACAGGTTTTTTTCTCCTTATGTAACTTGGTATATTAGCCACTATGTTGTATATTTGTGGTAATTTTTTATCTGCTGCCTTGGTTTTGCTGGATTTAGAAGAATAGAGTTCTCACTGTTTGCATACTTCTGCTTTTTCTAAGTAGCCAACCATGCTATTCAAGGATGTAAGTTGTGCTTCAGCACTTCCCACTGTGCCAGTTATTTATTGCAAGGAGCTAGTAGCACTGGATTGTCTGTTTAAGATCTTTATCAAGTTACTCAGCTGCTTTTCAGATTCATAATACAAAAGTAGGCTGTGCTCACTAGAGTGAGGAAATCCTATGCTATGTTTTTGCTTGCAACTGGGCCTACAAGGCTGCTGATTTTAATGTGGGTTATCAAAAATGACTGGATTCAAATGAAGATGCGGAATATTTTTTCAAAACAAGGTGGTCTTTCTGCATCACTCTTTTTAACTGTAGAAATCCCCTAACTGCATTAAGAATAAGCAGCAACAGACCGTTTAGGACGAATACAGTGTCATGAATCTATCAAGTCATTTGGAGTAATCAGTTAAGCCCTTTTCTATTTTTAATCAGATCTCTGACTTCGAGGTTCTAGGAACACAGAGCAAACAGAGTTAATGTGAAAGTCCTTTCCAATACATGCATACATTTAATCTCATGTTGGAAGTTATGTACCTTAAGAGGAGTAGGGACACCCAAAACAAACAGAAAAATCAGGAAGTGTAGGAGTCAGTATTCACTCTCTAGTAGCAATAAATAACACCCAGAACACCAGCTTGGTCTACTGGGTTTGTTTAAGCTTAATAAAAATTCTTAATCCAAATGACATGAGATGGAATTGGTATTACAAAGGAGGATATAACCAGATTTGTAAAGTTAATTCTTATGCTCTTCTCCAAGGGTCTCAACTAGGTGGAAAATTAAACAGATCAGATTTCTGAGATAAGTTAGGGAGGAAATGGGGCAAGAGGAACACTAGAGAAAGTAAATGAGCATTAGCATTTCCATTAAATTCAGCGTTTCTGGTGCTTAACATAAGTCTTCCAAACTTAGCATAATGGATTTTCAGTGGTCCTCTTTAAGATCAAGGGAGGCATATCTAGTGTTGGGTGGGAAGAATGAAACATTTCTTCTGGACTTCATGCAGTCTTTTCTTTGAGGTATTTTTAGGTCACCCTAAATAATTTTTTCAAAATGAGAACTTTTCCTCTTCCTGCATGAGTCACATGGGATGAATTAAAGCTACAAAACAAAAGTTTTCCTGTCACTGGTAGTATTCATTGCATATATATGTCATGAGAAGTATGTCTACATGTAAAAAAGGACAGATAAATATACAGGCCAGTTTCTTCTCCCAGGTGAACACTTAATAAATAACCAAATAATTTTCTGAAGTTGGAGAACTGAAGGATGTGGCTTATAGATAATGATGGTTTGTCTTTATATATTATATAGAAACATCTGTATTATATATTTTTATATAATATTGTCTCTATCTGGAAATAACAGGATATCCAAGCTCATTGCTAAAAGATTAAAAATTAGAATTTTCTGCTTTCCTTTGGAAATACATTTTGAGATCTTATTTAGTGCTTCCATGAATATTTACTACCCTCCTTATTTAAAGGAGAATGTACAGTTTTCCAGTGGAATTCTATATTTTGTGCCGTGGTATGGGCTCAGAATATTGCTCTTCAGATACATGATATTTCTATATACAGAAAAAATACTTCAATTTTGTAGTGTGGATGGGTTGATGACAGCTAACCTAGAGGACTAGATTACTTCAGAGCTGCTGGTAGCTTTAAGATCTTATCTTATGTCACTTTGCTGAACTGCACAGAGCATCACACTTTTCAATGACCATATGACATAGTGACATAGTAATGATATGTCATCACTGGTGTTTATGCCTTCCCAGCTGCTTCATCATATCTGACCAGTCTCTGATGGTTGGGTCTAGCAAAAATTAGTCCTGGTAAGCTTACTTCAGAATCTAAAAAAGCCTTAAAATAGTTTTTCAGGAACACAGCTTGCAATTTCAGAGTAGCTGACAGCACAGTTACGATGGCAGCAATTTTGATGACATAGATGGTAGCAGAATTTACTGACACTCATTTGAGCTGATGTGCCTAACTTATTTATGGCTTTACCACTTATGAGCGATGTCGTAACCCCAAGTGCATGAAAGTTAATTTTCGTACTGTATTTCATCACCAAGTATTCTTCTGTGCATGCAGTAATTTTACACACATGTATATAAATATATAAAACCACAATATTTTCAATGTTTCAAGTTTACTATTTTACTGCAACTAAACTTAAAATACGTAGAGCTTCTTTGTCCAGGATAACTGAAAAGCATAATTTTAAAGAAAAAAGGCTTTGAGGTTAGAATAATAAACTCAGTCTCTGTATCGTGTCATTTCCTAACAGTAAGAGCAAGTCACAGTAAAATTATGCTATATAAATTGTGTCATGGAAAAGGCCCGTCATGTAAAAAATTTGTATCTGCAGAATTAGCTGTGGAATACAGTCTTGCAGTAATTATTGAATGCTGTAGAGAACACTGACAAGATGATCTAATAGATTTTCTAACCTCTAGTAATTTGCCTTGAAAATACAAGTTACACTATTTTTTAAAGTTACCTGTTTTCATAGTTGCCAGCAGTCTTGACAGTGATTTCCATTACCATGTGACTTCTAAATTCTACAAATCTGCATTTCTCTTTTGAATTTTAGATACCATTCCAGGGAGACAGTGCATGTCCTCCTACTTATTTCTTACTAAACAGTTCAGCAAAGTCCTTATGTACCTCGACTCGGTCAAGGTTGGTATTATTATTTGGTATTGGCAGTACTCTAATGTGTGGAATCACTACTTATGGAATTAGACTCTTCTGTGTGAGACACTATGTAAATGTAAAAAGATAGAGAAACATCAGTAGTAACAACAAAACACAGGAAGAATGTTGGGATGTAAGTTGTCAATATAGCAAATTGATCAAAATGTAAGGATGCAGTTTAGATAGCATTGTGCAGCATGGTGGTCTTCTCACACTTGCAGTTTAACCATTTCTGGTGGCATCACAGAAGACAAAGAAGATAATTAAAGGAAAACAAGGGGAAAAAAACTTGAATATTTATGGGGTGAGCAGCATGGAAGAAAAAAAATCCTTTTTTTAAGACATCATATGAACGATAGAGATTGCTGTTAATAATTGGGGACAACATTTTAGTGAACAAGATTGTGTAAGGAAGATAGAACATGAAGGACCCTGAAAGTAATAAAACTTCTATTTATAGGGAAAGCAGTCACTGAATGGCTAAGATAGGGCAGGATTGCCAAAGCAGTAAGCTAACAATAATATTTTTGTAGAAGTAATCTGAATGGTGCCCTGTGGGCAATGTTGCATTTTTCAAAGAGGAGATTCCAACTGTCATAATGCAGCATTATCAAATCACCAGTATTCTATGGATAAAATGGATATAACTTACAGTTAAAAATCAGTTGTGAAGAAAAAGAGAGAAGCTGGAGTGTGATTATAGGGTTAAGTGATTGCAGTCTTGTTCTACTGATTTGAAACTAGAGCTAAGAACTTTATATTTGATAAGAAAAAGAATGAGAATCTAAAAAGAAATGGTTAGGGAGATGCATTAGATGAGGACAATTACAATATTCTAAGGAGGGTGAGACCTAAGGAAAAGTACTTGGCTGTAGTGGTGCCAAAAGCAGCTGATAAGTGAAGAGTGATGAAGGTATAGTGGTTTTAACTTTATCTGGAAGGAGGTAAAGAAAATTAAATATAAAAAAATACTGACACATTTCATTGCACAGTGGTGTAATCTTATTCAAAATACTGGGCACTCCTCCCTCAACTGCAGAAAGAAGTATCATTCAGAGAACAATTAGAAATTGAAACATTGTCTCAGGATATTTAGAAGAGAGATATTTGCTGTGGAGGAAAGTTAAGGAAATACAGTTATGCAAAATGAGAATTAGAATAAACGAGGTAGATTTGAAATCTCCATTTCTGTTAGGAGAGGCTGAAAACAAGATACAGCTTGCTGGATTTGCTGCAAATTCATCTTGTCTTTTCTTAGAAAATGCATTTTATCACTAAAAACACAGTCGGTTTATAGAGCTCATTGTCATAATTCAAGGTAGGGCTGAGCTTGCAAGTTTCAAAGGTTTTATAGTTTGTATCTAGCAAGCTGCAAAACTACTAAGCTTATGTAAAATATTTATTTGTTAAATTCTTGAAGGAAATAATAAATACAGGTACTTCAAGACATAACACTCTTGATAAATAGCAAGGTACAAAGTTTTTTGCCTGTCACCACTTTTTTTGCATGGTTCTTTTGAAGTAGTTTGTGCTTATCATTTTCTGAGACTAGCCACTGCTCAGATTTACTTCTGTCATTCCCTTCCTCTTTAAGTCACAGGAATGCAAATAATGCTTCCTATATCATTTTACAGGCAAGGCTTAGGTGTCTTTACAGTCACCTTAATGTTTCATTCACAGGAGTCAACTTTGGTAGAATCTCTGCAGGTCTTTAAGTGGAACTGTGCACTCTGGGAAGATTGTTTGCATGGTAGTCTCTCAGGAAACACCACCTTCATCCATGGTTGATTAAAACTGCTTTAGGCAGGAGAATGTCTCAAAGGACACCTTATTTTACATGTATTGCCAACTGCCCTGAGGGTGACATTATGACACTAAGGACCAACTGAGAATACAAGATAATTCAGGCTCAGCTGAGTTCTGGCCATAACACTTAATTGTTCAACTGGGTGTTTGAGCACCTCATTGAAATGGACACCACTCAGAGCACAGTTAGTTTTATGAAAAGATTGAAGACCAGTAAAATGACTGCAAAAGAGTTAAGTCCAGTACATAAAAAGTTGCTTGGAAGGAAAAAAAAAAAAAAGCAGATACAAAATAGGTAGCTGCTGTGGATGTGTTACCCTATCAGCAGCACTAAGTGGTTTTTACAGGTTTTGGTTTTGCAGAAGGTCTGGTCTTTAGCACTGATGCAGCCAGGGTAGAATGACACAGTTTTTGTGTTTGATTCTGACAGAGATTAATTTCTGGTTTAATTAAAAAATACAGTGGAGTCTATTTGAACAGAAGGAACTATTTATGCAATAAAGGTAGCATCTTGCTTACCATCTTTGCTTGATCTGGGACTTGTGCTGATTCACATGAAACTGTCATTGAGGAAGAATATAGTGAAGTGTTGTAATTCTCATATGGTGAAACCAGTTAGTTCACCCTAAGGGCACTGAAATGTTTTCACAAGCTGAGGTTGAGGTTCATCTTGTTAGTTCATCCTTGTGCTTTCAAATATCTTGCTATATTTGTTGGCTCTTCTGGACCTATCATAGACTACTTGGGTGAAACCTAGGCATCTGGCAAGTGGTGGCCACCCTCCACCTCTCCTTTCCAGGCGCTGGTATGTGGGTGGACTGGGCCAGTATCCTCAGTTGACTAGCTGTAACAGGGAAGGGAAGCGGTTCCTCCATAGTGAAAGAAGATAGAGAACACTGGGAAAGGCTTTTGTCCCTTGCTTCCCATATCTTTTGTATGGTCCCAGCTGTGCTTTTTACCTATTCCTTCCTCTTTAATGAGGTAACAAAATAAAAGTTTGAGTTTCCCACGCAAGTTCTGTTTCTTTTATAGGTGTTACACAAGGAAAAACATTTATCTCCCACACACATTGCTGTTATGCGCACAGGAAAGCTTTTATTACAGTAACTATAGTGGATAAACTACCCTGTTGTTTTTTTTTCCCATGCTCTTTCAGAAGCTTCAATCCCATTCACACTTGTAGTTGTGGGAGGGTGTTGCACCTTACCTCTACCAGGTCTATCAATGCAACAGTGTGGGACAGTACTGAATGCTCAGCTTTTTTGAGTCGTCTGAGTTATATGAGTGTCTCATTCTGGACATCTGACCATGATCAAATCTGAGCTATTTGGGTCAAAGCCAAACATGAAGCTAATCTGTACCTGGAGTTATTTATTGCATTGGCCCATGCAGCTTTTCAGAAAAGAGACACGTAGATCAATCTGATCTGTCATTAACCTGGTGTGTTCAGTCTGATTATAGGAGGGAATAACTTATATTGTACTTCAGATAGAGAGAAGGGTGCCTGTAAGCAAGACTTGAGACTAAAGGAGTCCTGTTACAGGGTGTGCTGCCTGGTTACAGCCTGGTACTGCAGCTCCACCTCCATCATGTGATCCCGTGTGTCAGACTAGCATCTGTCATATAACCAGATCCACAGGATCTCCCATTGAGCCTCAAGAAGTCTTGGAAAAACAAACTGTTCATCTCCTTAAGCCATTAGGGAGTCAACTGCCTGTTTACCACCCTAGTGGTGAAGTAAGTGCTTGGGAGGTGAAAGAGACCGTGGCAGCACAGCATGTCTTCACATGCCCAAAGTGAAAATTATACCCACAAAAGCTGCCACTGCAGTTCTGAGCTCGGAGCATTCTCCAGATCTCTCATGGTTAATTCTGTGGAATGTTCCAGCTGTGTTTGTAGTCACGAATGTGGGATGGAAAACCAGTCCATAATTTTCTACCCACTGTTTATAAATGCAGTATGTTCATAATGTGGGTTTTTCTTTTTCCTTCCCACTGCCTTAATACAGTCTGACTCAGACTGGGGGGATGGGGAATATTTTAATGTTATTATATCATGGAGTGAGGGTTTTTTACTTATTTGGATTTTGTCTAATTGGCTTATTTTCCAGAATTACTTCTACAACGATGACACTTTTAACTTCAACTATGCCCAGGCTAAAGCTGCCATTAACAAATTTAGTGAGGCTGAAAAGGTGTGTATTTACTTTCATTAAAAAAACAACAATAGAAATATTTCCCACATACTCCTCTTTCTTTCCCTTTCTCCCTCTGGATCTTCACGTTGGTTGAAAATAAGCAGGTTGGGTGGAACATCCTCTTT